TATATGCTCAGCTTTCTAAGCAGAGATGCAGTACACTCTAATTATAGTGAATCATCTCATCTGAACACAGATACCCTGAATAATCAAAAAAATTAGATTTGTCAGCTATTGCAAGTGCTCCTATCCCTGCAATGAATGCATCAAACTGGTTATAAGGAGGAAAGTTGAACTACCGCAAATGTGAGACACCACCCAACCAACATCTACTTAGGAAGAAACAACATTTTGTCAGTTTATTGTCATTCTCTGAAGGGGTCCAACAGATCTGCAGAGGTTGTGAAACTCTTGTAGGCATATGCAATGGGAGAGACCATCTTCTGTACTGATGGCCCAAAGCCAACAGAAGAAAGACTGCATTCATCTTTCAGGACTGTCCTTTCCTTGGCTCAGACTCCCATGAGTGACCCAGAAACTAACCAAAACTTTGGGCTTAGAACATGGACCAGTTCACTTGGAAGCAAAATTTCACTAACTCTTCAGTGATCGATATGCTGGCTGCAATGGAAGCAGCAGCAAAAATAGCTCAGCTTTTGCAAACAATTTTATAGTTTTCCAGAGCTTATTTCTAATACTACCTGGAATAACTGCAGAACTTTCTGTCAAGTGTTCAAAAAAAGCCTTTTTCCATTTCAAATGCATTCATGGTTTTTAAACGTCCTGTACCAAAACCCAGCCACCAGCTCCTTACTGAAACTCTGGATATTGTTGAAGTCCCATATAATTATTCCTGACTAAAAGCTGCCATTAAATACCATGACAGCAATGCTGTGCTGACTTGAATCTTGTAATGTCAATTACAGCTGTGCAAAATCAGTATAAAATTTCAGGATAGTCAGACTGGTGGTGCTTTTGTGGTGGTTGCAGGCACTTGGCTTTTTCTGCTCACTCAGACACAACATGAGCAGCCTTCTACTCTAATCTTTCAACTATCCATCAAGCTCGGAGAGCTTGGCAGCATGGTGCTAACACCTGTCTTGGGAGAAGCCAGGAAGCACCTTTTCACCAGAGCGAGTGGGGTTGGACTCAGGCTTCAGGATCGTATCTTTGCTGAAATATAGTTAGAATTTTAATGACTACAAAGTAAAGTCTAAAATTAAGGAAGCTCCAATATGTAGGCCTAATGAAACAGATCGGTGTTTCATGAAATACTGAAGTTACCTGGATTTGGGGGTCTCAGTATTATTTGTCAGGTAAAAGAACACAACTGTCTCTGTAGTGCCTCAGAATTGTGAAATATTCTAGGTGAAATTCTCAGATGATGAAAAACAGCAGAATGTCATGGAAAAACATGAGATTTGCTAACCTATTCTAGATGGTAATCTGATCCATGGAGGTTTTTCATATCTTCATCAATTACTATAACACCCATATCCTTCAATCAATCAAACCATCACTCAGTAAATCAATTTGCCATGATGGGTTGCAGAAATATTCATATTTCCTGTTCTGTCCTTCATGACACACAAATATCTTAAAATAATCACATATGCATGTATGTATGTATGTATGTTGTATGTGGCAGTTAAATCTTATGGGCAAATAGTTTTGCACCATTTTAACAAAAATGGAAGAACACTTTTCTTGGTGCACAAAGAAAAGAAATGTTGATAAATCAGCCCATGAAAATGAAGTATTCCAGTGCTGACACAGGAGCAGAGCATGAGTTCATTAAGCAAACTGTAGAAAAAGCAAAAGAATGAGTTTTACAGTAAAATAAGACCACTTTCAGCGCACATTAAGTGTTATTCTCTTTGTTATCCAGTATGTACAGCCCATGAGTCTTGAGCTTATCTTCAGGAAATTCAAACGTATATGCTGAGTAGTCATCAAAATTCACTGAAAGGAACAGTGAAAAACAACTAGGCAGGATAATTTAAAAGAGTTAATTTGGATTTGTCAGAAAATGCACAAAGGAGGCAGCTTAGCCTTTAAAAAGCTTGGGGATGTCGGTGGTCATAATTTTTTGGCCATTGTATTTGATGAGGGTTATGTGTATTTTAATTTCACTGAAATGTGCACTCTTTTCTTGCGTGTTCATTTTGGCCAACCAGAAAACAGAAGTATTTGGGCATTTGTCTGAATTTCTAAATGTTGCCATCCTGGAAGTCTTAGTGATGTTGCAAATATACACAGATTACTAACATACTGCTCCAAATAGGACCTCCTGCAGAGATGCTCATGTGATGCACTAGGCTTTATACAGAAATTACCTTCAGATACTGAAATATGTTGTGAAGAGAGACTTCCTGCTCAGGCATGAATGTCCCTCGCTCTCTAAACATATGCAGTTATCCAACCTGTTACATGCACTACTGTGCCCTTGCAACTGTGGAAGGATCGTATCAAAAAGAAATGAAAGTAAAATTTTGCAACATATGGCAATAACTGCAGCAGAAATGACAGCAGCAGTATACCTTCCTGCTATGCATTAACTTCAGCTCTGCTGGCAAAGTGACAGCAAGTTTGGAGAGACAAAAGGAAAGAAAAACAGAGCAAAAGAGATAATAATTTGAAAACGGAAGTAGCAGCCTCCACTTCTTGGGGTGAAAGAAGAAATGAAGGGGCTCAAGAAGAAATTAGCTTCTCTGGTTTCAATGTGAAGGCAGATCTTTTAAAACAATAAATCAAGGACAAGAGCTGAGAACTTCACAGCTCTCTGAAGTACTTTATAGTGAGTCTGGCCGCAAAAGATTGAAATGTGTTAGGTACATGGAGAATGAATGATTTTGCAAATGCCTATTTACTGTAGGAGGTTTATTGTATATTTAGCGTCTACCTAACAGTATCCTGTGCCTCCTACTTGCCAATTAAGTCACTCAGCAAAGTCAGATTGATTGCCTAACTGCACTGCAATGTTTGATCCCTGGACAGAGTTGAAAATCCTTTTTACAGTTCTTTAAGATTTATGGGGAAATATATTCCTGTGGGTGTATCAAGACTCTTTGAACAAGTACATCATTAGTAAGCATTTAAAGCATTATGATATCTTCATAATCCATCAGAAATTCAAGAAACAACTGCAAAAAAAGCACAAAGACTGCTACAGTTCTATTTCAGTGTCTTCTTAGAAAATACACATTGCCTTTGGAAAGCATAAGGTAAATACACAAATGCACAAGAACACCCAAGTATCCTGCATCCCTTCTTGTTTTTTTCTGATTATTCAATAACTAGGACCTATGTTTAACTGGGTAACTGGATCATCAACACCAAAAGCAATTAAAAACCCTATAATATATTCAGTCAAAACTAATGATAATCCAGAGCCCTGTGGATCATTCTGTCTTCAATGTGCCTTACCTGATAAATGATGCCACCGAAAGTGGTCTCAGTAACTTCATTAGTCTGTCTAATCTTCACTGGATCTGTCATCCCCTTTCCACACATCACTTACAAGCAAATACAGTGACTTTGCACTAGTGTATTTGGCATAGGGAACAGGGCAATAAGCAATCGAGGATGCTGTGTTTATTTACATTATATATTCTGTAACTGATAGATCCTTTTCTGAAAGGTGCTTTATAGAGACTAGTAACAGTAGAACTTTATCTCCTTACTCCTGAATTGATAAGGTAAGAAGAAAGTTTTCTTTAGGATTCTTAAAGGGCTCACATCACCTGACTGCGGGGACAACCTTTAGTGTATCACAAAGTCACTGTGAGCTTATGACCAGGCCCTGCAAGGGATTCCAGTTTATAGATGGGAAACTGAAATGCTGGCATATCTACAGTAGGGAGTAGAGGACAGCGCAGAAATTCCTGGCTAAATACATCTGTGAGTTTCAGTGCAACACCTTGAAGAGAAACTATCCAGGAACACCAAAATGGTATAACTGTTATCAATGATCCAATAAACCTGCCTCCCAGAAAGAGCTAATTGGGTTGGGCACAGGGTTGTTCTGGGAGTACACAAATTCTGGCAGAAAGCTCCACTGCAACGTACAGATGTATTTACAAGAGGGAAAACAGTGACCAGGTTAGGATGATCTGTGACAGAGGAGAAGGTAAGCTCAGTCCACCCTGGGGAGCCTGGATACTGCTCCAGCAGTCAAAACAGAATGTGATAGAATGTAACCTTGCCAACAACAAGCATCAATTTGTGGCAACAGGCCCCTAGCCACTTTCCTATAGGCTCCAGTATGCCCTATGTGTATGTACCCATATGATTCTCAGAATCATTCGGTTTCTTGCGTACGGGTCACCTGCTTCATTGTCAGCACAGACCTATCCCCATTCTATATTCTATTCTAGAACATCCCTGGAGATGCTTTGACATCAGTGGAGGGCCCCCATCTTGAGACAGGAACCCTGTTCGCTAAAGAGCAGAAAATACAAGGCAATTTGGAAGAACCCAGTGATCTAGAAGAGTCAGAATATTCTTTCCAAACAACTATGGAAGAGCTTGAAGAAAATCAGAAAGCTTTAAAACTTACTTTCCAGAAAGCCCAGAATAATGATAAGGAGAAACAGCAGAATGAAAAGATGGTAAGTGGAAAATAAAATTCTTCCAGGTGTAAAAGTAAAGTGCATCATGGAAGATGTAAATCAGCCAGGAAACTTAATCTGCAAAGGGAAGTGAAGATTGTGAGACATTTGAGCTTCCTTTCAGAGATGAAGATCCTCAGTGGTTCCCATTTTCATAAGTTAACGTCAAATTCACAAGATGTGAAATCCTTTCGTTTGATCAAGAGATTCATAGTGCTTGGTTTTAATCAACCAGGCCCTAATTAAATATTTTCTAAATTTTCTTTACATTTCCAAATCAGAAAACTTTTATATGGTGGATATTTCATATTTTATAAGACAACATTCAATGGAAGATTTCCAACTTTAGGAACACAACTTTTAAAGGGAAATAATGGATATTATCTAACTGGTGAGTCATTATACAAATGTGTGAATAATCACTTGAACAAATATTCATGTTGACTTAGATGACCATACTCTATTTTTAACTATCGGCTTAAGTATTAATTTAGCCTTCCTCTCTCCAATTTACAGCAGGAAGCCATCACAGGCACGCCAACGTCATCTTTCAGCTCAGATAATGAAACAGAGAGCATGGATGCTACGTGTCCTACAGGATATGTGGACATGGGAGGAACCAGCCCTTTGCAGTCAGAAGTGTCCACCAATGCAGAGGAGCTGGAACAGCTCTCTGACCAGCATGTTACAGGAGCTCATTTTGAGCTTGAGAGGATGAGGTGGCATTTTGTGCTGGCTAAACTGAAATGTGAACAGGAGGATAAGGAAAAGCAAAGGCTTCATGAAGAGAGAATGGAGCAGATTCATCATCAGGCAGTAAGAGGATCGGTAAGCAGGGAAACATAAGGGTTGAACACAATAAAGACTGAAACATTCACACTATACGTTACCCAGTGGATAGGATCTCACTGTTACGTGAAGCAGATGTAGTTCCAATGAAATCAGTGAAGTTCTATCAGAGAAAAACAGTGAGGATCAGGTCCAATTTTGCTAAATTACTGACATGCATCTGGAGTAAATAAATTAACTACTGAATTTTCTTTTTAAATTAAGACCTGAGAGTTTGCCCATGAACACGTGTAAAGATGTGAAATGGCCACACAGTGGAAAACCATAGGCAATAGTTTGTTCCATGGATGTAAAGATGGATGCACAAAAGCCTTACCATGGATGTGCACTTACTTCACATGAACTGCTTTGTGTACCTGCAGGCTTGTTCTTGCAGTAGATATGAGGTCAGTTATCTTCATTTCAGAGAAAGCAAGCTTAGTTTATGTTATGGGTATGGCGGGGATGTGACATCTGCCACTGAACACAGTGTAGCTGATGTGCTTTCAATTCATATGCTGGCTTATCTCACAGCAACTTCTGATGAACTGAGTGTGCCAGAGGGCCAGGTGTGCTCAGAGAAGCATGGACTGGATGTGTGACATAATGTGTATCTTTTCCTTTTTCTGCAGGTGAATGAAGGACTCAAAAACCTACTTCAGCCTTCCAACCAATATGCCTTGTTCCTGTACTGCTTCATCATCATTCACCTTATTTATAGTTTGAAGGAGCTGGCCTTCTATGTTTTCCAAACACATCACCTGTTCTGTTTTGCTGTCGTGTTCTTCTACATTCTTAAGAAGATTTTCCAAGATTACAGAAACAACAAAAAATATCCTTAAGAAAAGCAGCATATTCTACTCTTTTTGCCCCATTTTTGCTGTTCTTTTATTATCACTACACCAATAATACATGCAGGATTTCAACTTTTGTTACATGCCTAATTAAAGAAAACCAACTGATTTCCTGAAGAAAATTGTGACTAAATGACACCATTGACTTCATGCTGTCTCACCACGTTTGGCATCATTCAGGGGCATTCATCTATGCAAATAAAGTTACACACAATAAGAAATAATTTTGGAACATGTTATATTTTATCTCACCTCCTTGGATTAGCACAATGACTTAGTCTTACCTACAGTGAATTATCACTGAGAGGTTTCACAGTTTTGTTTATTAGCAGGTAGGGAGGTGCTCGGGAGAATTTAATGTTCTGTTCACTACCATGTGCAATGGGCAGACTGCTTTGCATTAGAGCTGTCTTTCTCTCTGGGACAGAAACATTCCCTTCCGCGCTGTGCCATCCTCTGTAGTTACACACAGTTTGTCTCAGCACTATATCAGCAAGCACTGGTGAGTACATACACTCTTTATAATTGAGGTATCTTGATTTCTGAAGTTTCCATGCTGATAAGGAAAGATATCAAACACAGCCCAAATAAAAGGTATTTTGTCTAGTGAGAATATGACTAGACCCTTTTAATACTGCTTTAGTCACACAATAGAGGATATTTCCAGCTGAGAAAAGGTGAAGAGTCATCTACCATATGGTGTGTCAGGTTAGAGTAAGTACAATCTTATCAACCTTCCAGTGTTGTTATGATCAGAGCATAATGCACCCTTATATCCTCATACATATGTCTTACTCTGTTTTATTTAAATAAGTCTTGTCTCAGTCTGCATTCTCTTTGCATTGTGTTCTTAACAGGAAAACAACCTAAAGATAGTCGGGCTAGATAAGCAAAAACATGTTCAGGTCAGCATGGGATGGGTGTACTCTAACCCTACTCAGGTTTACCATGTATCCATGATCACTCTGACCTCAGTCAAGATGGTGCTCTTTGGGCATGCCACTGGCAATGTGTTTACAACACCAATGCTGTGTACAAGGCTGACTGAACCAAGGCAGTGGAGAAAAGAGTATCAGACCCAGATGTAGTGACTGAGTTTTTCGCAGCAGTGAAGAATGAATGCAGAGTGCAGGGTCTTCTTGCATTTCCACAGTGTGTTTCTGAGCAGTGGAAGGTTACAAGGAGGGTCCACTTTACATACACAGAAGGATCTGCAGAAGAGTGAAATGAGCAGTGGCACAATCTTCCTGGAAGGAAATTTAACCAAGCAAAAAGACTTTGCTTGCTATAATTATGGCCTACATACATAGACTTGGAGAACTAGACCAATCAAAAATAAGTGAATAAAAGCTTTACCCCACCTGCAGTTCCTCTTTTTCCAGCAAGAGTAACCATTAGCTCTCACTGAAATCCCAGGCCCCTTCACCACTTTAGGATCTCTGTGGAAGGCAGTGATTTGACTTTATTTTTTTAAATGGCTTTAGGGTAAGACCTGTAAATAAGCTGCTTTTAAATCTGTGTTTTTCTTTCACTAAAATAATGAGAATGTCACCCAAACAACGGAGACGTCTTTCCTTTTTTTTCC